ATGGGATTAGTGGTCATATCCTGTCAAATCCCTGTCCTTGCTAGTAAATGAGCCCTATGTAGATTACAACATACTTGCTAATTTATTGTTTCTATTTGTAAATTAAACCCTGTATTAGTTGTTCCTAATACTACATCTAATATATATTGCTATTGAGCTGCGTAATCGTTCACGTAGATTGACCCGTCACACTATTTGAACAAAACACGCATATTTATGTTATGGAATCTTATACTTTTGTTCATGCTATGAAAAAGCACGCGCCACGCACATGTTACTTAATAAAATGACCGAAAGAAATGAAGAGGAAAATAAAGTTGAAATATGATCATTATGCCGGAATCGATCTGCTAATATTACATGTTAAAAGAACTTAATGTTAAAAAAAACAACCCGTCCTATAAAGCCATATGATTATATTCTTTCCCAAGCCACAAATATCGAACCCTGTCCCGAAACCCTTAAACCCGATTATGCATACTAAAATATGATATTAAGACTCTGGAAAGTACACTTTAACATGTTGGATGTACATAAGCAGAATTTTAGTTTCTGCAAGTCTAATATACAACTTCAAGTTTGACACGCTCATACCTGTTCGGTCTAGACGAGGTTAAGGGCTTCATGGGAGGGCACTGTAGTAGATTCAAATGGAGGACCAGAGTATGCGAATTGAGACAGTTGCGTAAGCCTCTTTCTCATCAGAATGTAGACTGTTGCAAATGCAATGTCACTGGAAAACAAAAGTCTATATTAAGAAAGGAAAAAAATTGAGTTTTCTCGATCGGGATTAGTCCTATGATTCGGCTCCTTGATTATTATTAATTGTTCGAAACCCCCAATCCAAGTGCATCTCCCAAGTTGATAGCTTTCCTCATGGTCCTCCGACCTACGCCACCTCCATTTCCCTTTCTCATCATGGCTGCAAATTCCCCATAATCTATTTGCCCGTCCTGCAATGTTAGCAACGAGACTGAAAAATCAGGGCAAATATCGATATCCAAAAGGTGAGCTCAGAAAGTTGAAAATAAGTTAACAAGATGTATAATTTACTATTAAGGATAATTACAAAAATGTCCTTGAAGCTCAATCTAATTCCACACGCAAGCGAAAATAGGATAAAAAGGAATATTATAATAATCTTCGAGAACTACAACTTAACCAGATATTTGTTTGTGTATTTCAAAAATCTCAAAGTGGGTATATTTCTAATCATAAAAGATAACTGACTAAGGCTATGTTTGGTAAAACTAGATGATAAGCAAGCTGATAGCTGATAAGCTAGCTTATAGCTTATCAGTAATTTTTCAGCTTATAGCTTATAGCTTATGACTTATATAGCTTATAGTTTATGACTTATAGTTGATAAGCTAGCTTATATGATAAAAGTGTTTGGTAAAATTAGCTGATAAGCTAGCTGGAATAAAAAATTCAACTAGCTTATTTGAAAAGCTACCTAAGTAAGCTTATCAAATAAGCTCGAGCTTTTTAAAAAGGCTCGTCCGACCAAACGAGACTTATTTGAATACAGTGAGCTTATAAGCTAACCAAATAAGCTATAAGCTAGCTTATTTGTCTACCAAACATAGCCTAAATACTCAACATCATCAAGGTAGGTTTTCTAGTAATCCCTTTTATGAAGGACACACATTTTGAAAAATGAAAAACCAATGTTGTCAAAATCGGACCGGACCGGCCGGTTCGACCGGGGACCGGACAATACAACGGTTCGGTTTGAGGTAGTTAACCGCTGGGGTCCAAAACCGGATAAGAACCGCTAGAACCGGTTAAAAACGGGTAAAACCAGAGAACCGGCGACGGTCAGCGCGGGTTAGCGGTCCAGATGTCTTGTTTGAGCAGTCAGGTGGTTGAATGAAATATAAAGTTGAATAGTTTTCTTTGTTTTCCAGATGTGGGAGTTTAAGAATAAAGACATATTGGGCCTTTAATTTATTATCATATATATATATATATATTATTATCATTATTATTGTTACTTTATTTATTTTTAATTTTTTTATTCATTCTTTACTAGGCCAATAATTCCTAGATTTAATAAAATCCAACCCCCAACATTAACATATATTGGTTATATTAATTTTACATACTTTGTATGTGTAATTTGGATTGTCTTGTTTTAAATATTGAATTATTAATCTATTGTGTTTATTAACTTAAATTAGTATTGCTTATGGTAAACTATACTTAAAATATTGATTTCTCAACTCTTATTTAGAAAAATGTCATTATATGATATAAGATTAATGATAAATATATATATAATTATATATTATATATATATGATATAAAATGGTTCACTGGTCGGACCAGTGAACCATTGAACCAGTAGCTTCACCGGTTCGATGGTTCAGAACATTGTGAAAAACAAACATGCGAGAGAATCACTTACGTTATCTTGATCAATCTCACTGATCATATCGTCGAGATCAAGCTCACTAAGACCAAATTCTTTGCACGCTTGTTGAAGCTCGTCAATGGTTATGTAACCACTGCCATCTTTATCGAAGAAAGAGAAAGCCGAAACCAAATTCTCTTCTCTCTCCAACATGTTCAAGTGTACGGTGGCTGCAAGAAACTCCCCGTAGTCTATTGTTCCACTGTTATCGATGTCAGCCTGAAAGTAATTAAACAAATATAATTAGAAGAACAAAATGGATTTGATTATTAGTATAGACTGAGAAGGCTAAACTATATAAAAATAATCAGTAAATCTACTCAGCAACAAGTAAAATAAGCAAAAAATACAGATTTCTCTTCTCAGTATGTTTTATTACCGCATTCATAAGATCTTTAATTTCTGATTCCATAAGGTCCGAGCCCACCCGCCTTAAACCCTCTTTGAGTTCGTCAAAGGTTATGGTTCCACTGTTGTCTGTATCAATCATTTTGAACAGATCTTTTAGACCGCCAATTTCTTCTTCGGATAATCTCTCGGCAATGACCTACAAAATAGTGCAAGCTTTGCCAGTGAGTGATAGAGCCTGTGTAAGTAAATTCAAGAGGGAAATGGGGCGAAAAACGCAATTATTGAAACCGGAAGAAAACTGAGACAGCTTGAGCAAAATATATAACTAGACTGACTAAAGAATCAACATACAATACATTTCGATTTCATTACATAACACTCAACTAAATGGATCAAACAATTCGTAAGCTATAAACAGATTAGAGTCCTCACACGTAGAGCCATTTTCTTAAGTTTGTTCATTGCCGAGAACTGCTTGAGGCGTGATAAAACCGCAGAATCAAGTGGCTTATCAGGGGCCATTGTATCATCAACTATCCATGGATGGCCTAACAAATTAGAAAAAATAACATAAAATAAAGGAAGAGGTCAGTCCTTCTCATTGAACCACAAGGAATGACAAATATAATTAAAAAAAACGAATTCCTGTGAAAAATCAATAATCGAAACCTATTTCTTACACAAAACTTCATGTGCTGTTAACCTCGTCTTTGGATTTCTGTCCAGCATCTTTCTTAATAAATCCTTGGCAACATCTGAAATCACAGGCCATGGTTCGGAATCAAAGTCCAATTTTCCTCGTAATATCTGGCGGAAAATTCCGATCTCAGTTTCTGGTGGTCAAGGGAATAAATCTTAGTTGCTGATCATAATGAGTGAATTACACAACAGAAATATATTAACAAAAAAAGGACAAACACCTGCCCAGAAAGGTGGAACACCACTGAGTAATATGTACAAAATAACTCCAGCACTCCACACATCTGCCTCGGGTCCATAATGTTTCTGCAGTACCTCCGGTGCAACATAATAAGGACTTCCCACAACGTCGCTAAAACTTTCGTCTGATAACAAAAAAATATGAAACCAGAAAGACAATTTGAAAGAAGAAGATTAGTTATGTGATTAATAAATAAGGGATATACAAGTAAATAATCACAAGCCATTGCCTTTAACAACAAAAGTTTTAACTATGAAGAAGTTAGATATCACTGCCAAAGGCCAAAACACAACTCTCATATAAATATATAGTTAAATTAAAACAGTTGGGTTTGATAAAAGGCAGTTTAGGCAAAGAAGAGAATCTAGTCATATCTTTCTGAAAACCAAAAGCACACGTACTCGGACCTTCCCAACGTTAGCTTCTCAAACAAACAGCTATAAAGGAGATGAATATTACACATAATCTTTTAGATGTTGGACCCCAATTTGGCAAACGAAATTCATTAAGTGAATCAGAATACATGCGAACAATGAAAGATACTTCATGTCCAGCTTATACAAAAAGGAGGAGCAACATCATAGGAACTGCAGAGATAAAATAAAAGATTCAACAAAGATAATGGCAGGAAAAATAGCTAGCAAGGTAGTTGAGACATTTTACTACTCAACAACAACAACAACAACATACCCAGTATATTCCCAACTGGTTGGGGTCTGGGGCGTCAGTTGTACGCTGACCTTACCCTTGTAATTATACAAGGAGGCTGTTTCCGTAGCGACCCAAGGTGTATTGCATCGTTTGATATATTTTTTTCTAGAAACTTCACTAATAGAAGAAGCACTAGAATTTAATTGAGCCATTTCTAGACATTTTACTACTCAACAAAATCAATAAAAATCAGTAAATGAACCCCAGAAGTACAGTTATAAACTGAATCTGCCAGAACTTAATCTAATTTTCTCACACCTTTTCTACCGTAGAAAAGAAGAGCAAAATCATATGCAAGATTAACACCCAGATGCAAATCAACCAAAAAGATCGATAAATGCAATCACCACATTACACAACCCAGCAAATCACTAAAATACCTTAAACCACTCAAGCCCAACAAATGTCCAGATACAATTAGAACATTCATCAAAACTAATGGATATCCAAGAAAATAGAAGGAACTACAAGCCCTCTTACCTGGTTTGTAAAAAACAGAGAGTCCGAAATCAGTGGCCTTCAAAGCAGCATCCTCATCGGCACTAAGGAACAAGAAATTCTCGGGCTTCAAATCCCTGTGCATGACCCCTAACGAGTGACAGCCCTCGACCACTCCAACAATAGTCTTGATCAGCTTTGCGGCCTCCCTCTCGCTGTAATGCCCTTTCTGCACAATCCGGTCGAAGAGCTCGCCGCCGGCGCATAGCTCCATGACTATGTGCACGAACAGGGCGTCCTCGTAGGTGCCCTTTATCCGTACAACGTTGGGGTGCTCCGACAGGTGGTGCATTATCTGAATCTCCCTCCAGACATCATCGTAGTCCTCCCGGCAGATCAGCTTCCTCTTGGGGATGGATTTGCAGGCGTAGGGCGTGCCGGTGGATTTCTCGGTGCAGAGGAAGGTGATCCCGAACTGGCCCTGGCCGAGCTTCCGGCCGATGGAGTATAGGCTCTTGAGGAGTGGGGTCCGGTAGGGGAGGACCCACGTGGGCTTCTGGTGGGGGGTTAGGAAAGTTGGCTTCTTGATATCCGATGCGGGTTTTTGAGGGGGTTCGGGTCGGGTCTGGTTTTCGGCGATGGGTTCGTGGTTGTGGGGTGGCGGCGGCGGCGCCGACGACGAGGACATGGTTTCTGGTGTATTTCGCGTTGTTTTTTTTTTTTTTTTCAGTTTTTCTGCTATTTTTCTGATGAGAGTGCGTGAATCTTGAATTGGTGTTGCAGAGGTGAAGCCGTGTTGAAAACTGAGGAAGAAGGAAGGGGGCAAAGGATTAGTGAAAACTTGATTTTTATTTTATTTTATTTTATTGTATCATCTACTTGTACATTGTTATCTAGATATTCTCTATCTAGATTCACTGTCGTTGCTTTGTTGTTGTTGGTATTATTATTACTAGGGGTGGGCGCAGTCTCGGAGTGTCCGGGATTTGACTTGTCCCTAAACTGATTCCACTTTTATGAATGGAAGTTGATATTTGCCGCCTTCTTTTCGATAGTTACCGCCCCCAAAAATCGTTTTTACCCTTTTTTCTTAAAAAAAAAATATATATATTCATTATTCACTTTACATATTCTTTCTCCCGGTTTCGGACTTCGAAAAATTCCGAAAAAAATTCCGACCTCCGGCGACGACGATGGCGGCGAATAAGGTAAATTTTTTTTTTGCGGCGACCGGCCGGTTCACCTCTGGCCGGCCGCTTATGCTGGCCGGCTCAGGTCTAGCCGGCCAATGTTGTCGGCCGGCCCTTGGTCAAGGTTCTTTGACTCAGGCCGGCCGGTCCATTTTCCGCCGGTTTTGTGAACCGGCCAGACCTGAACCGGCCGGTCTGGCGGGCCGGCCGGCCGGCTTGCCCAATTTTTTTTTAATATATATATTATATATAATTATATATTTATAATATACGAAATATAATTATATATATTATAATTTTTTTTAATTATATATTTATAATATATATTTATAATTATAATAATTATGAAATATAATTATATATTTAAAATTATATATTCAAGATATATTCAAAATATAATTATATATTTAAAAACATTAAAAATATATATAATTATAATATACGAAAAATTATTATATAATTATTAAAATATATATTAAAAATAATATATATGAAAAATAATAATATTTTTAATAATATATATACGAAAATAGTAAATATTAAAAATAAAAATATTTTTAATAATAATATTTTTAGTCATATATATATTATTATAAAAAGTAATAGTATTTTTAAAATGTGTTGTTATAATATAATATAAATTATTATTTTTTAATGATTACTTATAATTTATTATGTTTTGGTAATATATTGCAGGCGCCAGTTGAGGATTTTGGAGGAGATAATGTTGATTATTGGCCTTTTTTCAGAACAGATGAGATATTTGATAGTCTTAAAAAAAGCTATTAACTATGCAGTCGGTATGGCAACTATATGTGGTTTTGAACTAATTATTTCAAAGCACTCAAAGGGAGGAACATTGAGGATTCTGAAGTGTAACCGAGGGGAACGTTATCGAGGTAATAAAATATCCAATCTTGTTAATGCTGTCCTGAGAAAGTCGAAAACAAAATCTACTGGATGCCTGTTTGAGATGAAATTGAAAAAAGTGGCCGGTACGAAAGATTCCTGGAGTGTATGTTTTCCTCTGGATGACCGGAAGGGATACCATAATCATCCGATGGTTTTGTATCCCGAGGGTCATCGACAGTTCAGCGGATTGAGTGAAAAGGCGAGACAGATCGTCCGTGACATGACAGCTGCCCAGGCAAGACCAGCGGTAATATTGGCAGCGATACACGAGAAATACCCGACTGACAACGCGGTTCGTCAACAGGTTTACAACTATAGGGCTAGAATGCGATCAGAGAGTTTCGAGGGTAGAGATGTGACTTCCCAGCTTATGCATCTGGCTAGCCGGGCTAATTACATAGTTTTTACCGATTCTGATAAGGACAAACACACCTTGACACGTGTGTTCATGTCGCATCCCCAGTCAGCCCTTCTCTTTCAGACATATTATTGGTACGTCGGTATAGATTCGACGTACAAAACCAACAGGAACGTTAATTTATAAATAACAATTTAGTACGAATCTTAATTATTATTGTCTGAGTATGTACGTTTTTTTATTCTTTGTTTGATTTTGTTGCCTTCATTTGCACAGGTACAAGACGCCGCTTGTGGAAATAATAGGGATGACGCCGTGCAACAAGAATTTCTTGATTGCATATGCAATTGTGAAGGACGAGAGCCAGAACAGCTACGACTGGGTTCTGAAGCGGTTGAGAGATCTAAGCGGTTGAGAGATCTGATTGGGTCTGATGTACATCCTTCAGTCATTGTCACTGACAGGGAGATGGGGTTGATGAATCCTATTATGACTAATTTTCCGATGTCTGCCCATCTTCTTTGCACGTGGCACATCAACAAGGATGTGGAACAGAGGGTCTATAAAATCACCCACAAAAATAGTCAATTCGCCGAGATGTTCACGCGTGGTCGGTGGAAGAAGATCATTGAGGCGAGCACGGTGGTCGAGTACGACACTGCCGTGAAGGACATGCAGCTTCGGTACAATAAGTTCCCTCTTGTTATACAGTACGTAGAGGATACGTGGTTAGTCCACAAGGAAAAATTTGTCAAAGCGTGGACGAATCACTTCCTGCATTTGGGTAACACCACGTCGTGTAGGGTGGAGAGTTCCCACAATGTGTTGAAGCAGTTGCTTAACACGTCCACCGGTTCTCTTGACACAATGTGGGAGAAGACTCACAAGGAGATTGAGTCCCAACACACTCAAATCAGGTACGTTAATTTATTAAGCTACACATACATATTTATTGTGCTATTCATGTATCTATATATTTATATTTTTTTTTTTTTGCAGTTTTTTGTTATAACTACTCATAAGCAATCTAAAATCACATTAACTGGTATTATAATTTAAACATTTTTTCAAACTATTTATGTGATTTTTATTTATTTATTTTTTTTGTTATAACTACTCATAAGCAATCTAAAATCACATTATTTTTTTTGCACATGATCGAATACTAATTAATTATAAATTCATCTTCATGCAATCTATTATCAGGGCCACGCTGGAGGAGTGTCAGAACAAACGGAGTTACCATTACACCGGATTTCCGTTCTCGCAGCTAACACTGAGGGTCTCGCATTATTGTTTGGAGTTACTGAACGAAGAGTATAAGAGGATGCAAGACTTGAGCGATAAGGTTACGACGCGCTGCGGGTGCACACTCAGATGGACGCATGGACTTCCTTGTGCCTGTTACATGAGTATGACGTGTAATGCTAATAACCCAATTACCACGGACGACATCCACAAGTTCTGGATAACACTTGAGGTGTCAGGTATAATTGTGATATTAAATTGAATGTTTTTTTTTGCGTTTATTTTTTTTATACTTCACGTACTGTTATATATATATATATATATATATATATATATATATATATATTTCATATATAGGTTATGATGTTTAATGTTTTAAATTTGGTTGTATGAACAGATGCCCAGAGTAGTGCACGACCATCCACGAGTAGTGCACGACCATCCACGAGTGGTGCACGACCATCGACGGTTGGGTGGACAGACCTGTCGTATTTTCGGAGCCTTGCGGAGGAGGTCGAAGAGGCCAATCCTGCGACCGTGCGTCATTTGAATCAGTACATTTACTCTCAGCTTCACCCTGACCAACAAGGTTACGGTCCACCTATTCAAAATTGCACAAAAATATTTAATATGACACTCACATTTAATATAACACTAATGATTTTTTACTTTGACCAACAAGGTTACGGAGAACCTGAGGTGAAGGAAAACACACGAGGCCGACCGAAAAAAAAAATTCAACGAAACGTGATCCATGCGTCTGGGAGTACCAGGAAAGAGGTCGTCCGGTTGGCCGTAAAAGCACTTCATCACAAGCACCGACAAGCTCGTCTTCTCAGCGTTCAGAAGGACCGACATGTTGAATTCTAATTTAATTTATTTTGTAAACACTTCATCGAATTATGTTCATATATAAATTTGATTATATATATTCTGACGTGAAATGTTTGTGATATTATAGAGACGTTCTAGACAGACTTCTTCGGTTACCGATAATGGAATAGCATTCCCTACATTGTGCACGACTACGTAGAGAGCTACTTGGATGTGACCGACGATGGGAACTGCGGATTTCGGGCACTTGCGAGCTATATTTTTGGTGACCTGGAGAAGTACCGGTTGGTAAGACAAATTATTGCAAATGAGATTGCGGGGAACATTCCGAGGTACGAGAACATCTTCTATGACGGGATCAACGCAACACTCAATCGAATACGCTGGGATGGGGGCCCTTGTGGCCGTAACCACTGGATGGAAACTATGTGCGACCTCTTTCCCGTTGCCACATTTTTTAATGCAGTTGTGGTCTTGGTAGGCATGGGTGAGCGTGGTGACAATCCCACCTTTTATAGTTCTACTGTACTGCCTCTCGTCGCACCATCGACGGCTACATATCCGGAGCGAGAGATCGTCTTGTGTCACCTTGGTAGTTACCCACACTTCATTCGTGTTAATTTGGCGCCCGGCCATCCAATACCGCCTATATGCCCTTTTTGGATGTCACTTCGAGATGAGTCGGTTATCGGTTGGGAGAATTACTACAGCAGTAGAATAGCTGCGTGGATCAGGATTCGTGATGCACCTAAGTCTTGATATTCTTATTATATTCGGTTGTGATTATTTGTTATTTTGTTGACTTCGATTTTGAGTTGATTTATTTTTTTAATTATAATATAGTATAGAATATCGAAAATATAAAAACATAATGTGAATGAGTAACGACATATAAAAAAAACAACTCAATCAACAACCGACCCAACAGTAAATAAAAAAAAAAAAAAACAACCAAAAGTCGAGCGTACAGTAAATAAAGAAGAACAATTCAACCAAAAGTCGAGCGTACATTAAATAAAAAAAAAAACAACATTATTTCCATAAAACGTCAACGTTGCGTCGCTCTATCCCAATCCGCCTTAACTACGGACCAAGCGTCTACATACTCCTTCGTCAAGACAGGATCAACATGCTCGAACCGCGATA